CTTCCTTCTGTAGTCACCCATATTATGACCGGAACATAATGATACTTCGTACATGAATTGTGATCAGTGTGATTTGAAATGCGCCTGAAGCACTCTTCCCCTGTGCTGATATTTATGATTTTGTAAAGATACAGCCGTGTCGTGGCTTCCGCCCGACTTATTAAAGGTCCACGCCTGGTCGAGCGCGCAGGGGTCCCGGCGCGCAGAGAGTATCGGTGCCTGCGCGTCGGCTATACTCGACGCGTGCTCTAGCCTAACACCATTCGGCAGTGTGTCTCCATCGATCGTCGTAGCCGGCCGCCACTGCCCGTCGTCCTGTTGTCGTACCGCTCGAGCCTGGAAGTGTGATGCAATCCGATGGAATGTGATGTGATCGACTTGGGCATGGAAGCCCAAAGGTGCCGAGCGGTCCCGAGCCACGTCGCCTCCCCTCGTGAGATTAACGTACTGGATTCGTACCACCTGAGACGTAGGTTGCTGGTTTTCATCGTAGTTCAATTGCTGACGTATTTTATGTTCCTTTTTTTATGTATATAAGTATATAACAGGCATTTCCTTTTTACCAATTCTTTTCCTTATCGTATTAATATTTCCTTATTTATTGGCGTATCCGTGAAGACTGCGTATATTATTGTGTTAGTGGTTTGAGATCGCAGACGGTGATGCCGTGAGAATTATATCTGGTTTGAATGTTAAGGATAGGCTGTGGCAGGTCATCCCGGGGTCATAGGATGTAGCACGCGTAGGGTAGAGGTAGGAGTGCAGGAACAGCGTAGGGGCCGCTAGAGCCAAAGTAACATCCCGCGTGGCTAAATGGGGCGAGAGCGAGCGCAGCGTAAGACCCCGATCAGGCAATCACGCCGACGGCGACGCCGCTCCTAAGCGGCGAACACCGATGCCAACGTATAGCGAGGAGCAAGGCGTCACCGCCGGCGCGACAAGCCGAATCTCGTGAGAGCCCGGGATACCGGTTTGTGGGTACTACTCACCAAAAATTGGGTCGCCCGTCACACACGATGATGGCGCGCAGTTGTGCGCTACGAAGGAAAAAATTTATATTCCCAGTGAAGGATATGGTAATCGTCGCGGAACCATGGCTTGCCCTTGGAAATCGAGAAGAAGTGCCGTCGCCCATAATACCGCTGCGAACATTTTGTAACACTGCATGTGCTTGAAAACCAAAATGTTGTTCGAGGACTGCCTGTTTCTCTCCTCTCTAGAAAGTGAAAACTTCGGAAACACAGGAAACACTGTGATACTTTGTTTCTAGTTTAGTGTTATAATTGTTTGTACATTTGTAGCTGCCGCTATTTAAGTAACTATTAATATTATTAGGGAAGTAGGTGATGTAGTGGGAAGTGGCGCAATATCACATATACGTGGTCACCGGATCGAATCCCTGAAAGAACCCCGCCCATGCTGACCAATCCTTTCATCTTTTCGGCATCGGTTGATTGGCAAAAGGTAGTCCTGACTTGTGGATCTTCCGGTAATGGCGAAAGATAGTCCCAACCCGTAGGTCTCTGGCAACCGCAAATTATTATATCGGCTACACACGCATTCAAAACGCCACTAAGACTCTGAATCGAAGGTAAATGCTTCGGCGCATCCCACAGACGAGATTGATTGACGTCTTCCAAGCTTAACTATTACTGGTTCTACTATTATTACTGTTTTGCGCACGGCCTCATTCGTATCAGGATGGAGAAAAGCTTTCTACCAAAATCTATGTCCAGGTGCTTGTTCAAAATACGGGGTCCACGGTCGTCAGCCTGTCGCCAACAGCATAGTCTAAAGTTCCAAAAGTTGTAGATGTCTTTGCTTCAGATAATTCAACATCCTACCAATGTCTGATTTCTTGGGTTTTGAAAAAAACAAAAACATGTCGAAAGTACCTAGAGAGTTTTCTGCGACGCCTACATGTAGCGTTGCTTGTTTCTATGGGGTGAAGTGTGCCGCCATGGCAACGCGAGTCCGTACAATCGTTTGGTCGCCCCGCATGACCATGTTCCGAAATTTTAGTTGTTGATTGATCCGAATTTTTCTCTAGAAAGTTCGAACCCTTTTAAATTTTGTAGATGTTGTCCTTCGGAACAAAGCTAATATTTATTCGACTCCATAATTGCTCTGTATGAACTCACCGCTACCATCCCCACATTTGATTCTATTTCCATTTTTGAACTTCGTAAAAATGATGGGCACTTTTGTTTTGATCAATTGTACTACTTCTCTGAACGAAGCTCATTTTCAAGGACCTTCTCTTCCTGAAATTTCTATCCACGCCGAGTGTAATTACGTACGAATAAAAACTATTTTAGCCCTTACTACAACGGTCACGCAAGAATGTCACGACCACCATCAGCCCGTCCGAAAACGTCTACTGGTCGAGCAAACAGTGCAATGAGACGTGCTGCACAGCCTGAACATGTTGTTATGAACGGTATACCCTTTTAATGGGTTGAGATGCTCTAGATTTTGAAGAAGGCAGAATATTTGCTAGAGAGACCATTACGGACCAGTTCGAAAAGCGGACTAAAAGGAGAAAGGACACCTTCCGAAAGCATACTGAATTGCTTAATAGTGAATGGCTGTTTTTACACTTTCGCAAGAAGGCCTTTGTAAAAACCGCGTTCCAGCTTTATTTCACCTTTATTCCTTCCTGTCACAGCCCAAATTAAACGTCATAATGTCTTCAGATGGTCAGGAAATCGCTTACGGTCATAACTTCCTGCGGCAACGTAGAGTAGTCTCATTCTTATTGGAGGCCCAGACTAGGGCATTTTGAAGGGGAAGAGAAGGCACTCATTACCTAGACATACTGCGGAGGAAGACAGCAAACAAAGCTTATTCCCAATATAAAGGTTTTGATTTTCAATACTGCATGGAATCAAGTTTATGCTTTGAGAACATTGCGGCTTAAGCATCATCCTAGTATTTGTTATGATCACAGTATATGGAACAGAAGAGGGTACTATTCTACTATTACACCCCCAGAACCATTCTACTGTTACACACCCAAAAACTCAAAATTTTAATTTTCGATGAAACTTTGTCTATAAGGGTAATCCGATGCCCTGATAACGAATATGACCTTCATTTTTGGCGTTGGCGCCATTTGGCTCCAATTGGCGCCAATTTATCGCCAATTGGGGCCAAATGGCGCCAGCGCCAAAAATGAGTGTTATATTCGTTATCAGGACCTCAAAGAACCCCTGAACGCAAGTTTTCAGCTGATTTGGTGAAAACACCCTTGGCGCCAAATTGGCGCCAATCGGCGCCAAATGGCGCCANTCGTTATCAGGGCATCGGATTACCCCTATGAACGAAGTTTCATCGAAAATTAAAATTTTGAGTTTTTGGGGGTGTAATAGTAGAATAGTGCCCAGAAGAGTTTCAGGTTCGATCCCATCAGATGTCAGACCAGCATCCCGAATATCGATGTCGCGAGCAGGTCAGGTTCCTGTGCCGCCATCAAGAAGCGGAATAGGTATGATTCGAGAAATCTTGAATTTGTTCGTCACTTTCACGAAGTTCAGTTTCAAATCTTGCTTACTGGAAGAACTTTTAATTTTTTTATTAAGGTTCAAGAATGGGAACTCCTCAACGCATAGGAACCGGTGTGAGTCCTCAAATCAATACATTTTTACTTGCCGCGAAAAGTCGTGAACTCTTGGATAGCAGAACTCAAAAGGCCGCTAGCCAAAGATTCCCTATATTATGCTAACAGCATGACCTACAGTTTCAGAAATTGTGGAATTTTTGCCTAGGTAGTGGTAGAAACAAAGCATGGAATTATATTGCCTTCGCGTTTCGTATCATCCCATCCTCGTGGAGGAAGGTGGAACTTATTGGTCAAACCATTGGAATTCATTTGCCTCACTCCAATTCATAAAATGATTCAGCTACCTTTTAAAATTCAGGAATTGTAATGGTAATCCCCATTCGATTAGTGAGTGACATTTGCCGCAGTAAACATCTTTGTTGAGCCAAACGAAGCGGATAGTGAAACAGCGAGCACGTCTATTGTGACTGCCCCTCGATTCACGTTGTTCCTAACATTATAAGCTGTTGGTAATGAGCATAGCATGGGATATATTAGGTTGATGTATAATTATTGCGGATTTTTTTCCAACACTTTTTTTGAAGGAACGATAGAAATACTATATAAAAACACCTTCAAATAATTCCTTCGGAATCTATCCACAATCTACGTCAAGCTCTGCTTCCAATGAACTGGGCAGTCGGTTTTCTAAGGTGGAGAATAATTTATTTGGTCGTAAGTTTTGTTGGCTAGCCAATTTTTTGAAGAATACGGTAGACGAGGTGATCCATAGGAGTTTTTATCAGTGAATGTGAAGGATTTAGAAGCTGATCTCATTTCTTACGTGGCTTTGGCTAACAGTTCCATCACGGAGAAGTTCGTTGAGATCGCTAAATGACTATGCCACCTTCCAAACTTCCTCGAAGTAGAAGAGCATAATGTGTCGAATGTGAAGATGACTCTTTAGATGCATTTCTGTTAAGGAAATCAAGAAAATTATTTTTATAAAAATACCAGATCCAGTATTCAAACTGTACTGAGGGAACAGAAGCCGCGGAAAAATCCGCAATATTTATGCAACAACCCAGAAGAAGTAAGAGTGCACCACTTTAATTGATTGATTGCAGTTCTAGAGTGGAAGAATTGTAGGTTACTCTTCGTTTTTTTCTACGAAAAATCGAAACATCGGAAATATTTAATAGTAAAACGAATGAGGTAGCAGCGGCGAAAGTGCTTGCTACCCTTTGAAAGTGTTCCCATCTTGCCGCCGGTGCTCCTTATTCCTATATTTGGAACTCTCCAGGTCCATGGGAACAGGAGTTATGAAGTTCCGGCCAAACACACACAGACATGCGGAACATACAAAAGCGCACATACGTAACAAACCAATAGGCACACTTAGACGATTATATTATATAGGTCACGGCTATTCTACATTCTATCATTAATTTAATGTTTATTGTGCGGTACTGAGAAAAGTATAATAATATGTGGACCTCTGATTTGCTTACAGATGGCCGACAGTTCTCTCAGCGGTATATCTCGCCCACCAACTGCGTTGAACCCACCTCATCGTCCTGTCACACAGCAGGGTCTCAGTGGTGGTAGAGCAGTAAGCCGTCTTGGCACTGGAAGTAAGGTCTTTCGTGGCTGATTATTACACAAAACCATGGAATCACCATAATTTCTGCAAAACAGATAACTGTTGTCTGATAAGAGCAATCAAATTTTCATAGTGCAACTAATTATGTGCCCCCTGTCCTATTTATCTCCAAAGAGTTCAGAATCGTCGAGCGTGAGTTTGCTACTTGTCCGCTCAGCTACTTGTCCTTTAAATCAAACCGAATACTGTTTGATGTGGGTTTTACCTCGGGTCGCAAGGATCTCTTCCATGCCAATTGGGCACACCACCATTCCATAGTCATCACAATTTCGTTTAAGGGTAAAAATCTGCCGAACAAGTCTAATCCAAAAACCATATGTTTGCGAGTGTAAGAAAATTTATTCAATCCTGGGACCTACAAGTAATAGCACAACAAAACGTATCTAAGGACGACTACGATGTTAAGCGGAGATCGAATGGAATCTAGAAATCTCATAATGCGAATTGAATTTCTTAACAGTACTAGGCTACGTACAATAGTTTAGCTCTTATTTAACATGGAATTTGAATAACTCTGCTTCTCGGTAAAACTGCTGCCATAGTAAGGTCAGAAACAGCTCAACAGCTGCAAGCACACATGGGTAGATTCTTCAAATCTTGAAGGTATGCGCCAAGTTCACGACAAGTCCTACTATATGGGTATCCTACGTTCGAAAATAAATCAGATCAGTTCGGAAATTGCCCGGTTGGAAGAAGTTTACCAGAGAGGTCAACGAGATCGTATGGAACTCGATGTCTACGAGCAAAGGTAATTGTGGATGCTTTCAAAGCAATATTGTTACCATTCAGTAGCAGGCTGCCTACAAACTTGCGCTTACATAAAATCAGTTTGATCGTAAGTGATGAAACATTTCTGGGTGGTCGTCAGAGCAGCAGTTGATCACTGCGCTTTCATATAGCAAAATATGTTGCAGAGCGAAAGAAAGTGCGATGGAGGTGAAGGAACTGCAACGTAAACTCCTCAACTACAATTTGGTGAGCTCTTCCCTTTCAATTTCATTTAGGATTCCATCCTGCTCTACACATTGCTCTTGAATTTGAACTTACTTTTATCCTCATCACACATTTTACACTTGTAGCTTGTCGACCGTATGCATAGTAATCATGAAGTGGGCGACCTCGAGGCTGAATCAAGAAAAGCTAAGGAGACTGCTGATGAGGTGATTGTCAATTCTTCACTTTACTTTTACAAGTTACTCTTTCACTTCACGCTATCGCCTCTTTCCCTTGGCCAGCTTCTGCCGCTGTTCACGTTTATACATCAGTAATCATATAAGGTTTCAGCTAGAAGCGACGGTCCAGGATCTCTTCCATGAGCGCCAAGCTCGGGAATATGAGATCGACGAGCTTGCAGCGGAAATTGAAGAGCAGAAACGACTAAATCAAACGATGCTATCTGGCATGGTATGTTCTGTGACTAGATATGTCGAAGTATAGAACGCATGTCCTACTTCGTTTCGAGGATTTATGCATATTGCCAAGTAGTAAAAACCATGAGCCGGCATTTTTCGATGCTCCAGATTTTTTATCTCTTAATGGGTACCCGTGGCATGCCATAGAAAATGTAAATCAATTGAAAACCTCTCCACAATAGGTGAGTTGATCCGTACTGAGCCTTTCCTGACTTCAACCACGTTATATAATACTGTGAACAAGATCTTGTTTGAGCGTTATCCTCTTTGACTGCCGTCACGGCACTTAGACGATGGTAAGTGTTCAGAACATCAAGAACATAAGGTTGATGACATATTTTTAATGTCACTGTAAAATGTTATTCGTCCTCTGATGAGTGAGTCATTTCGATCGTGGCTAACAAATGCTTTTCTTCATAGGCCTTCAGAGCGGTGGTTAAGCTCTGAGCTTGCGCAGAGCAAAAGGTGTTGCAGGACGAAGGAAAGTGCAAAAAACTACATATCGACTCGGAACCTATGCGAAACAATACAACTCAAACAATGTCCAAAGCGAACTTTGGCAATAACTACCGGCCTGCAATGTCCCACAAAAATGAAACGTGTAGGGTCCTCTACGAGTCTAATACGCTCAGCGTCGTGTGACTCTTTCGAGCAGAAAATCCACCGACGCGAGCACGAGCATTCAGCGACTCTTTACGTTAGAACGTGCGGTTGTCAGGCGCATGTCTAGAACAGATATCAGCATATGCATAGGTGAGACAGAGTGGCAAGAATGTACACGGCCTGCTCCAGAAATAGCCGAATGGTACATATGTCGTACCACAAGACCGCAGAAAAAATCAAATTGAGCATTTGAGCATATCGAATGAAAACAAATTCCCCCCATGTTTACCGTTCACAGATATGCTGGCTGCAGCTTTTCTGTTGTATGTCAATATGGTATCACTGAAATTGTACAAAACCTAAATCGATTTGTTAGATTGCGCATCATACATGGAACGCAGCATACATCGCAGAGAGCGCTAGCAAAACGAGTCAGGGAGCATCCTGCTAATAAAAGGCGCCGTAAGATAAAAGCCCGTCAGTTATCTTCGGGCCGTAAGATATCGGCCGAGTGTTCAGTCATAAGGTGGCGCTCGAAAGCACGCATGAGTTCAGAGGTGTTCGACTGGAAAGAGCTCAGAGCAGTCTAAATTTCTGCGAGAAATTCTATGTAGAATGAGCGACTGAAAGGATATCTGACCATTATTAAAAATCCCTAGCCATTTGCAGCACAGTACGAGCCACTAATGTAGGCAGTGGAACGTACAAAATCCAGCTATACTTGCTATGAAGGGCATCCCAGTATTCCTCACCAGTTTGACTACACACACTATGCGTACAAAACTTTGACCTGATCTTTGATCTTTAAAGATCTGACATGTCAGTTTTGATGAAATCGAGTTATGTGGTAAGCACCACAAATCGCAACCACGCTCTGCCCACCCTGACCTTTCTATTGTTCATTTGTGGAACTATTCCTCACATCTGGTAATTTTTCCTTATGTCTCGGCTGTTTAGAAATCAAATGAAATAATAGCAGTAACTAAAAACAAACATTTCACTCAAGTAACCTTGATATGTCTTTATACCGAAGAATTCCTCAGATTCAAGAATGATAATCTTCTTATTCAGGATCCAAACCTACGCGAAACATACGAAGAGTTGAAAAAAGAAAGTGAATCGTTGGCAACGAAGGTAGAGGAAGCCCAAGAAGAGTTGGCTCGGCTGGACGAGAAAAAGGAACAACTTGAACTTGAACTAATGAATTCACCTGTGAAGAAGAAAGCCAGTGCGTCTTTAAAACAACGAATAATTGAACAGATGCTGAAAATATTATATATTTACAGTGGAACTCAAGCAGCTGCTGATTGACTTAAAAGCGAAAGAAGCGAATTTGATTGCTGAGAAGGAAGCAATGGAAACACCTGAACAGAAGAAGCAAAAGCTCATCGAGGAGATCAAAAATAACAACGAAGACATCGCGACCATTGAGAAGCAGTAAGTAACGATCAAGGGCAAGGTTCCCAGTGCTCAAATAAAGAATTATAGTAGACTTGATGTTTTGTCAACTGCTGTTTTAACGCCGCAGTGCGCGAAGCGAAAGTCTCACAAGGTTGGCGATTTGTGGGCAAAACTCCAGTCTCGGACGGGAATCGAACCCGTACTTGTCCTTTCCGGGGACCGT